CGCAATGCAGCCGCACAGACTCGTAAATATGTCGCCTCGTTTGGCGTTGGCTTAAACCCAATGCGGCCAGCACGGCCAACGCGGCCAATATGGCCAATATGGCCAATACGCGTCCGGAAAGAAGAGCCCATTTCCCTGCGCCACCGGGGATTTATGTGCAGCTTTTGTGGGGCGAGGGGCGTGGCGAAAGGGCGAAGGGGCGAAGGGGCGGGGTGTTGCCATAAATTGCCGCAGCTAAAACTGCAGTTGGCAGCGTTTGCAGCATTTGCTGTTTGTAAACCGCGGGCTTATCGACGCCCGACCTCAACTGAACTGAATCGGAGTGTTTGCTCAATATCCGTTCTATTGACATGGGCCGGGCATTTGTCCATGTCCGAGGCACAATAGGTACTCTATGGGTACTTTCCAGCAAGGTATATTGTTTCTGAGGGAATGCGGTGCTAGGTTAGTGGAACTACAAGTATAGACTTATAATAGATAAGTCGGGAGTTGGCATGCAAAATCCGTTACTTCAATCTTGGAACAGTTTTGAGATCGGTGTAAGGTACACCGTGTGGAACTTATAACAGGGCCTCGGGTGGTACAAGATACCTTGGCACACAAGCGTTGTAATTGTTTGTAAACACGATAGTTAGTTGGACAAACAATTGGAGTTGTGGCGCCAGCGCGGCAAATACTCCTCCGATATCGCCGATATCTGCGGCTATATCTATTTCCAGCCCATACCATTTCCACTTCCATTTCCATTCGCCGTCGAAGCGGACGGAAAGACAATCGGCAGACAGGCGAGAAGATATGATAGACAAATGATCGATGATCGCCGCTGATTGCTGATGGTGATCGGGTTTGTGATCATTGTCATTGGACGTATGGCGACATCAGCGTGGCATTAATTGTACAGCTAGAAGTGGCTGCTATCACGGCCAGTGTAACCGAGTGCAATTGCCCCGGAAAAGGAGAACATCTGCGAGCAGGGCGAGACTTCATGGTCTTCCTATGCAAATTTCGCCGGACTCTCGCATATGCCCGGAAAAAGCGACGGATGCCCTGCACTTGACAACATTTATAAAGAAATTAGCTGCGGCCCGGAGTGACAAGGGAAGGAGCCGGGAATGATGGTAATCTAACATGTGTTCCTCGCATAAAGCAGCTAAATGCATAAAATATTGATACAGTTTGTTTTATGGTCCATTATATGATGATGACAAAACGGTTGGCTCGGTTTGCTCACTTTGCTCACTTTCCACCATTTCCCCCATTTCCACCCTCCGAAAATGCAAAGCGATGCCCAGACTATTTGTCATCGCCAGCCGAGGGTTGTTTAATGAATTAGAAAACCGCACACGAATTAATGATGATCGCGATCATGCCTTTGCAACTGTCTAAGGGGTGGCTCACATTTGACTTTGACTCCGGCTCCGGCTCCGGCTCCGACTCCGGCCCATTGCCCATTGTAATAGCGGAGGCAATAAAATTTATCAAATATACAAAAGGATTACGGCCCACGGCGGTGCAACTCCGCTCCCGGGTTGGGCCGTATAAATCTGGCCGGGCTTTAAACTGTCAAAAAAGAGCAGCCCCTGTTTCCATTTCTTCGGGCCCTGATAGCTACTAATCCGGGGATTTACATGCGCCGGCAATTATGGCAATATGTTCGCCCCGTCTGTGCCATTGTCTCACAGCTCAGTACTCAGTACTCAGTACTCAGGGCTTCCACTTTTTAATGTGTCAAATAGAACTCACTTTTTAATTCAATTACCAGCCGAGGACTGGCAAAAACAGGGCCCACAAAAGCATCGAAGCTGGCATCAAACTGGGATGCGAATTGAATCTATGGGGTTGAATCGAGTATCGAGTGCCACTTTTTGCCAGCTCTTTTTATGGTCAGGTGTCGCCAATGGCCCGGAAATGGAAACAGCAATTGCCAATCGCTGAAAGTGTATAAAAAAGCCATTGAAAGTGGCCACAAAGGAGCCACAATATGCTGGCATGATTGCAGTTTGAATGGTTCAATGTAGTGGATAAGTGGGAAAAGAAAGAGGTATCTTTTCAAAAATCTGGGTTATGACCAACAGTTGTGACATTTCGAGGGCTATACAATGAACCCTGCAAAAATATTGGAGCTTAAATAATTCCATTTAAAACGCAGCTAATGGCTACCGACCTTTTGACTTTATTTACTCCTGTAATAGCCGTGATTAGGCTACTTTTTGTTCACATATGTCCGTATATCTGCAGCTGCAGGCGAACATCGCACCAATTAATGCCGCCGATACTCCGGCGGGAGTGTAGTAATGTATCTGTGTATCTGTGTATCTGTGTAGTCATCCAGACAGTTGAGCACACAAAGAGACAGCGCTGCGTGGAGTAGTCCACGTATCGATGTTATCTGCTGATTTTCACTTGGGCTGGGCTATCACTGGCGTAGAAGAACCCCGGAAATGAGAACCACGGCCCATTCCACATTTAACATTTCACATTTCACATGGGGCAAATAAAAAACGTATTTAGCTGCAATTTGCGACCATCAATCATGGGAGCCCGCACAAAAAGTGAGGCCCTAACTTCTGCCACATGGCCACTTTTGGCCACTCATATCTTTTTGCCACGTCCACCGTCCACCGTTTACCTGATGAAGCGTTGCATGAGTTGCCGTCGAGTGTCGTTGATGCTTTCATCAAAACCAATTAGGATTTTCCACAGACTCTGCCCGTTGAGTGGAAAATTGCGCTGTTTTTTTTTTGTGCACTCTCTCATATTTCACTTTTTCACTTTTGCGCAGAGTTCCCTGGCTTTTTGTTTTTTTTTTTCCAGCAGGCACATCAATTTGCCATCAGCATTTTCCGTTTTTCCGTCTCCCCGGTTTTTGTGTTTTTTGCAACTTGGGCAACTTGCTAAATGATACGTGAAAATGACAGCTGACGAGATCGATGACGTTAGTTTTGCATCCTAGATGATGCACGAGATCCTTGAGCTCCTGATGATGATGATGCTGATGGTGATGCTGATGGGGCTGAGCGATGTACCTTGACGAATTGACACATTGCGCAGGCAGGGGATTTGATTTAGGTGCTGGGAAAATGGGAAACTCTCACTTTCGCTTTTCACTGTCGCCTTCGCCTCGGCAACCAGCTCATGCGATTTCAATTAACTGCCGCAACTAATTAGATTAAGGCAATTGCCGCACTAAATTCGCTTTGCTGGCACGCGGCCATAGTTATTCACTTGTTAGCCGCGCTCGGAATGTCTCAATCAGCGTTTTCCCAGGCGAAAACAAACACTTTTTGCATAGATCAGCGCGTGTCGGATTTTAGTCACGCCAGTTAGGTGAGTTCCCAGTATGGGAAGTTTACAGGACCAAAAGGACACGCATAGTGCGTGGAGAGGGGTGCAGACCAGCAGCATTGGCCATAAATCTGCAACCCCGCAACGTGGAAGCCGACGACCAACGCGTTGATTTAGGGACAATGTGGCAATGCGGCAACAAGCCATGAAATTCGAATGTGCAGCTTTAATTGCCCGGGCGAATGTATCTGCATCGGTGGGAACCTTTGGTTCTGTTTCTGTTTTAAGTGTACGTGTATCTTAAAGCTTCGGGGCTCGAGAGCAAGAAACTCATCAAAATGCTGCCAACGTCTGCGCAGCTCTTTGTCATTTGTATCTGTATCTGCGTGGGAGGAGTATCTTTGTCCGCCCCCAAGCATCCGTATCTGTGCAAACTTCAGCCATAAATTACAAAGTTGCCATTTTGTTTTTATCTTCTTCTCGGGGAGCACTCGTCCGCCTTTTTCTCTGCACTTTCTGTGTGCAAAATAATTTTGATTTATTTTTGCACCCTCGCAACTTTTTCCCCCACGCCCCTTGCCCCACGCCACTCGACCATTCCCCACACTTTTTTGGGGTGGCAAGCCGAGTTTATTTATATAAAGCTCTCCATTAAAAAAGGCAGCCCGGGCTGACTGGGAGTATTTATGTATATATTTGTATATTTATAATTACTGCACATGCGTATTGCGGCGGGGCGCGCTTTTTGGGGTAAGTTTTGCCTTGCCACTCGTTGCCGTTGCCGTTGCCGGGGCAGATACATAAATTTTCAAGTAATAAATTATAAGGAAAATGGCCGACTGTGCGGCTTAAAAGCTGCGAATAAGTCGCGCTGGGAACTGCGAATAAAACTTTTAGATTTGTGTCTAGTTTTCGGGGAAACCAACAGCTATCCCTAAGAAAACTCTATCCCCAGCTTTTGGACGTATCTACCTTTATATATATTTAATCCCGCAGTGAGCTAATCAAGTACCTACCTGTTTTCTCTCCGCCAGGTGTGGTTCAAGAACCGGCGGGCCAAGTGGCGCAAGAGGGAGCGGAACGCGATGAACGCGGCGGTGGCGGCGGCGGACTTCAAGTCCGGATTCGGGACGCAGTTCATGCAGCCGTTCGCGGATGACTCGCTGTACAGCTCGTATCCGTACAACAACTGGACCAAGGTGCCCTCGCCGCTGGGCACCAAGCCCTTCCCGTGGCCAGTGAATCCGCTCGGATCGATGGTGGCCGGCAATCATCACCAGAACTCGGTGAACTGCTTCAACACGGGCGCCAGTGGCGTGGCGGTCAGCATGAACAACGCATCCATGCTGCCGGGCTCGATGGGCTCCTCCTTGAGCAACAGCAGCAACGTGGGCGCCGTGGGCGCACCCTGTCCGTACACCACCCCCGCCAATCCGTACATGTACCGCTCCGCCGCCGAGCCCTGCATGAGCAGCAGCATGAGCTCGAGCATCGCCACCCTGCGGCTGAAGGCCAAGCAGCACGCCTCCGCCGGATTCGGCAGCCCCTACTCCGCCCCCTCCCCCGTGTCGCGCTCCAACTCCGCCGGACTCTCCGCCTGCCAGTACACCGGCGTGGGCGTGACGGACGTGGTCTGAGAAAACGCCCTGGGTGCGCTGCTCAACCAGCACCAGCACCACTTGCAGCACTTCTCGGGAGGATCGGTGGGCGGATCCGGGGTGCCGAATGGAATGCAACAGCACTCCGGCAACATGCTGCACCACAGCAACTTGGGCCTGGACCACTCCGATCTCGGTTTGGTGGGGGGCGTGCCGGCCAATCACCAGGATGAGGGCAACCACAGCCTGGAGGGCAGCAACAAGTCGCCCATGGAGGCGCCCCTGGCCAACAGCAGCAGCAACAACAACAACAACAACAACAACAACGACAACGATGACGAGGACGTGATCGATTGAAAAACGCTCTAACTTAAATCAAACTAAAGGCAGCCTAGCCCTAAGCATTCATAAATAATTTTAGATGTTTGCCCAAACTAAAGATACATAACATAAATAAAAAGAAAAGAAAACGAAAACGAAACCCCTAACCAAAAAGATACAATTTTTTGAAGAACAATAACTAAATTTAACAGAAAAGAGTCCCAAACTCTGTTTTATTTGCATTGAGATTAGATGCCCCTTTGTTCGCGTGCCCCCAATTCAGAAATTAAGTGTTTTTGTAAATAAAAGCAAATATGTAGTCTTAAGCAGCGGAACCCTAACTAATCAAGCCAAATAGCCAGCCCAAAGATCATATAGTCGCTCCTAGTTCCACGTCAGTTCAGTTCAGTTCCCCGTCGTATATATCGTATATATATATATATAAACCAGAAACGTATCAAGATTGTAAACAGCTAAGGCCAAAAAAGAACACTGAAGCTAAACTACAAAAATATATCAAGCAGTAGCAGTTTTTAAGGAGTTGTCTAGTCGTATAGATCCGCATATGGCATATATAGTACCAATACTGTCTGTATATGTATATGTACATGTACATGTATATCCCTCTAAAGAGCCCCGTATAAATATAAACTATTTAATAATTGTACACTTAACATTACTAGCTATAGAAATTGAATCAAAAGAACAATAAAAATTATGGAAAAAAAGCACCCACGCGACGGAATAATGAATTACGAGGGCAAATTGCGGTCAACCGCTGGGATAACGAATGGCTTTTCCGCTGGGGAAAGCTGGAAAGCGGAGTGGGAAATGGAAACATTAAAAAATCAAATTGTAATTTACAGCCGCGGGGGGTGGGGCTCGTACTCGTATGCCAATCGCCTTTTCCGGGGGGCAACGGGAATGGGGAGTTAATTTAAAGCAGCTTTTCCTCCCCCGAAAGCGAGCAAGTGCTTAATTCCAAGGTGGACCTGGTGCCAAAAGATCCATCCATCAATTTATTCATTACGGCGAAATTATGTCGCATTTATATGCACCCCGCAAAGAGACAACCCCCCGGAAAATCACCGCACAATAAAAATAATAATAAAAGGACATCAGCGCCGTGGGGTTGGTTTTCCCGGTTCGGGGCATCAAATTTGAATTTCATATGCTGCCTGCTGCCTGCTGAATGCTGCCCGTCTTGATTGAAGGCGGCTAATAAAGTGGCAAAGAGAAGGGAAAATCGGGGAAATGGGATTTCCCGCTGCGTTAAGCATCTATTTTGGCGATAGCGAGAGGGGAGGGGGGCTAAACTGCGACCCGGCGACCATTTGATTTATTTTATTCGCCTTTGCCCGCTGTTAATGTTTTAATAAGATTGATTTTATTGCCGCTCCTGTGCGTGGGTGGATTTGGTCCTGCTGGGGCGTCAAAGGGTTAATAAGTTGCGCTCCAGCTGTTTTGGCAACTCTATTATTGTCCCCATTTCGCTGGAAATTGCGACGAATGCAAGATGGCTTGCGAATGTGCGAGTTTCGGGGCAGTTTTTACTTTTCTGCCCTATCTGGAATTACTTTATCGGCACACACTCACTCGCGCAATTAACTTTTCGGCGTAATTAATGCCGAGCCTAATTATTGTTAATCAAGCTCAGGCCGTCAAACAGGCCGCATAATGGATGAGCCGCAATTAAAATCAACTTCCTATATATGTACATACAAACACGATTATATATGTATTTGCATGGCTGGTGGCAGCAGCGTGAGTCACGCGGAAAAGTCTTGTTAAATGGGAGTATAAAAACACACACAATTAAAAGTGCAGCAAGAAAGGCAATGAACGCCTCAAATAGTGCGAAATACTTTGAGTGAGGTAACCAACTGATTTCAAGTTTCGCATCTCTGGGAGCTGTTCGATGTCATCCGCGAATGAGGCGCCATCTTGAAACTGTCTTATGGAACGACGCATGTTGCCAGCCATTGTTTGCCTAACCCACCCCGTTGGATGCCATGCCCCCTTGGATGCCACCCCAACTGGCATCCGTTCCCCCCAGTCCCACCAATGTAGAGGCAATCAGAGAACCAGTCGAGCAACGGGCGAGTTATTTTTACTTGTCTTACTGGGGAGCGGGAGCCCGACCCTTGGCTGATTCCCCATCATTTACTTTGTCAGTATGCGGCAGCTTCATCATTACTATTGCTGCTGGTCCGCTTCTTTGTTTGCAACGTACAAACACGTCACTCGATGATTATCATCCCCATCATCATCGCCATCGTGGTCTCCATCTTGGCTGCTGTATTTTTCCCTTAGGTACTTGTCTTTCTTAACTCATTGCGTTGGCAATAAATCTTCGACGCTCTTATCTGCCAGGCGCACAGTTTGGGTTCGGATTTGCCCCAAGCCACGCCCACGCCCACGCCCACGCCCACGCCCCCGCCCATCCCCATTAACTGACTTTCACTTGGGCCATATGTCAGGTGCTGCTCTTCTATTTCCCGAGGATCTGTGCCCATGGCACCTGCCTAAACAAAGGGTTTTGGCCTAATGAGTCGCCGAAAATTTAAATTTCAATTCATGAGCCTTTACTGCCTTTGCTGCAGCAGCTTTGGGCCTCATTAAAATGGGCCTGAAATATTAACTAGAGAAAGCTGAGTAATTGCCAGTGTTTCACTGGGTAAACAAAGCCCAGCCACGTTGATAATAATATTCGAATGTCCCATCTGCAGGTCGACCCCATTTATGACCAAATACAAAATGATGGCCATAAAATCGTCTCATATTTGACTGGTCTTTATTTATTCATTTCAAATTTACTTGCTGGCCATTTTATGATGCCAAATTTTGACCTAAAAATCATAAAAACGGTAATCAAAATGTTTGCCCGCTTTATGGCCGACACGAAGAAGGTCGGCAGAGTGGCGAGTGGGGAGGGGGGTGGCGAGTTCTAATAACGTCTAAACGCGAGTCCGGCCAAAAGGAAAAGCGGGAGGAAAAGAGAGGCGGGTCTCCGGGCTTATGGCTTTTTAATGGTGCCGTGTGTCGGTTTTGTGGCAAATAAAATGGCGCACATTAAAAGCGGGCCAAGGAGCTGCCCCACCAATTGCAGTGGCTCCCGCATCCTGGCCCCAACCTCCGGCTAACCCCCTGGCCACCTAGCTCATATTGGGGTCATGCATGGCAGCCCGGGTAAATAAAAAATACATAAAAATATTTTACGAGGCCCGGGCCTCCGCCGGTTCCGGGAATAGAAGGAATAGATGGAGCAGAGCCCAAGGAGCTGACAATAGGATAGTCCTGGCAAAAAGGGGACATCGCAGCGAGATTGCAATAAAAATGGCGGCAAATAAAATTGACAATATTGTCATGCGCGCAATTTGATTTTGATGCCAGTGTGTGGGGCTTTCGCGATTCTTGGACTTGGCAACAAAATGAGTACATTTTAATTTCCCTGGGAGCCATTGGTATAGCTTCTTGGTTAAATAAAACATTATATATAAACTTAAAGTAAGGCAATATTGCAGGCAATACCTATGCCGCCTATAAATACTTGGCAATAAGCGCCGATTTCTAATACTCCGTACACAGTTCCCTTTAATATACTTGGCTGGCATCTTTACTTTTGTTTTATCTGCCGTACTAACTTTTTATGGAGCAGTCCAGCTGCCGATGAAATGTTTGAGAAGCCGTCGGCAAAACGCTGAAAGGTCTGCCCCTTATCAGCGAACCCCATTCGGGCGTTCCCCTCCCCTTTTCCACCCAGGCCCCCCCCACCCATTTTTTATCTGCGAGAGTGTGGAGCCAATGATTATTCCGGGTTTTGTCATTTCAATTCGCATTATCCTTTGCACTTATTTTACTACTTTGTGCGCCACTGCTTCTGTTCTCCCCCCTCCACTCCCAGCCAACTCCAACTGTAATTGTGGGCTGGTGTGGGCGGAGGGGAAGGGGAGGAGGCAAAGGACGAGGGTGTGTTTGTGTAATGGCGGGTTGCGGAAGTCCTTCCCCCGCCCCGTCCTTTTAGCCCTGTCGAGTAACTCGTATTGTCATTGTGCAAATAAAATATGTCACGAATCGCCCACACCCCGCACTGCGCTCCTTGGGTCCACCCCAAAAAAGGCGATCCGAAACACGCCCCCTGCTATGTGTGTGTATCTAACCTTTTGTGCCCATTGTATCCTTTGTACAGGACTCACACAATGAGAGCAAATGTTTTGGTTGCTTACGAGCATCAAGAAATGAGAATCGCTTTTATATAAACTTGGCTGAATGAGGATGGGCGGTTGATGCGGTTAGAACAGTCGGCCAGCATTGATTCCGCTTCGTGCACCGTCAGAAATTACCTGTAACTGAACTGCTTGAATAACTAAGTAAATGTAAAATACTTGCAATTCGCTTGTGAACCTTTTTGTTCATACTTAATTGCCCTACATTTTTCAGCAGCTAAACGGCTTCATTCTTCCCCCTCCCGGATTCATACAAACGCTTTTCACTTGACAAGCCAGGCAAATAAACAAACTACACGGAAAGCCAATGCCAAAGCCAAAACATAATCCATGATTTCAGCTGCCAAATCCTTTTCAAAGCTGCAGCCAGGTGAAAAATAACGAAAAATCGTATTTTTCATACATTTTTATCAAATATATAAATACACACTCGTGTGGGTTGTATACGTTTGTGTGGGCCAATTCCAATTCAATCCAATCCAGCCAATCCGCATCCGAACAACTACACAAGTTTATAAAAGACACTCGTTGGCCGCCCTTTGTGTCTTTGTGTTGAGTGCTTTTTGGCTAAATGCGAAATCGATTGGAAAACAATTTCCAATTTTTAAAGAATTATCGCCGCCATATTCGCGCATGCTGTACTAAATCACACATAAGCAACCTCTAAATCTGCTACCCAGGACCCCGACCCCCACCCCCACCCCACCCGCACACATGGGCAACCTTTTCGCAAAGCTTTTCCTTTTGCCCCGTTTATTTCCTTTTTATTTTCCGCTCTCCCCCGCCCACCAATATTTTCCATTTCATTTTCTGCGCGGTTGGCAGCGCGTTTAGCTTTGGCTGCATGCCTGACTGACTTTCAGTTATACTAAAAATATATACATTTATATCCGCACACATAAGCTGAACGAACAGCAGGGGAAATGCCAAAAACGAAACTATTATGAGCCAGTTGGTTTTTGCACATTAAATAATAGTTAGCAAATAAAAACGTTCGACTAAAATATAAGGCTTCCGATTTTAATAATCTCGTGCACTTAAAACAGCAATAAGCTGTGACAAAATGTGTACTTTCACAACCCCATGTACAGCGCAGCGTTCCTCTCCGAGTGGCCTCGGGTGTACCCTTATGGCTGTTATCTCCACCGCAATAGCTACTGAATCCGCAGAGGTGGGAGCTGGATATCCAGGGTCCGGGATCCGGGATACGGGATCCGGGGAGGACTTCGAGCACTGGCAACGCAACCCGCAGCCATTTAGTTTTATGTGCCCCGTTCGGTTGGGTTATTGCACCTTTGACTCGACTCCATCGCCATCGCCATCCGAATTCCACTCCACCTTCGACATTCCCCGGAGCAGGAGGTGTCACCCTGGAGGGCATGTATCCACAAAGCATCTCGCGTGTGAGAGCCATTTATTATTATTTGCTTTCAGCAAATGTTAGCAAGTGTTAGCAAATGTGAGCCCAAAACCGAGCCCGAGTCTCGGCCGCAAGCATTTCCTAATCAGGTTTTAACTACTAATAGGATTTCCGAGGTGGCGAATCGTAATTTACATGGCTTTGGCCCGAGATACCCAAAGAATTGAATTGGAATCCAGAGCAAAGCTGCCGCTAATGTATTGCAGATTATGGCAAATCCCTCGGCACTTCCTTCCCGATACCCAGCAAGCCCAAGGACCTCATACTCACACGTGCTCTAGCACTGAGTGGAGCCAATGGAGACGCCACTCAGGTCCCTGAAGCGCCTGAACCGCTCGACTCGCCGCTGGCGAAAGTAGCGCCTCACCTCGAAGGCCGCATTGCAGGCCACCAGGCCCAGCATGATGGCCGTGATGAGCGCGGCGAAGATCAGCAGGAACCAGTGGAAGTAGCAGCTCATGGTCACTGGCTTCTGCAGCCAGCCGCTCCAGGACTCGGTGCACTGCTCCTGGACGCACCTTCCGCGCACATTCCGCACACAGCCCTTGGCACAGCAGCCATTCGGACTGAAGCGGCCACAGACTGTCAGTTCGGTCTGGGGATCCGAGCAGTTGACCCCTGCATGCTGCCCCAAGCTGCGGGGGATAATGTGGGCCAAAAGGGAGCCCAGGGTCAGTAGCTTGGCCAACATAGCGCACTTTTCTCACAACTCGAGTGGCATGAATTTTGAAGACAATCGAATAACTTTAAGTCTAAGTCAGGGCTGGCTGCAACTGGAAATTTGACAATGGAACACATGGGGGAAATTCGTGTATGTTCTCAGTGTAATTAGCTGTTTAATACATGTGCAAGGTAGTAATTCATAAATCCTCCTAGTTTCACATAAAAGAAATTGCTTTCTTCTCACTCTTTATCTGTGCTCCTGGTCTCCAAAAAGGCCCTGGCTTTTTCTGCCCTGTCCCGCGCCTCAATGGCCTCCTGTTCCTGCTCCTGCGCATCCTTGGGTGGAATATACTCCTTCGGATTCTGCTCCCGGGCATTCGGGATGAAGGGAGCATGGGGCCAAACGGAGGGCTTCGCCTGCAGCAACCACAGCTCGTCGAGTTGGCTCTGGAGATGCTGGACCGCCTTCTGATGCCGATTGGCCATGAAGTAGGCGCAGCCTGTCCAAGTGAGAGTGATCAGGACCACGCTGGCGAAGATCAGCACTTTGGTGGGGATGGATTCCAGTGTGAAGCTCCAGCCGGATACCGATGGCTCCTGAGCTGCCAGTACCTCCTGCACCAGCAAACTTGGGAGCAACTTTAGGGCGATCGTGTGTCTCATTGCGCGGAATTTCTTCAACTGGAGCTTTGGCAATCGGGGAGCTGGCTTTATAGGCCCCACTTATCGCCAGTCGACGGGCATTCCTTTGGGAGAGTAATTCCAGTGGGAGTCTTAAAAAGGCTGAACCAATTACTAGATACTAGAACGAAATTTTGAATACAGGTATAAAACAATAAGTTTGCTGCTTTATTAACTTTCAATCTAAAATATCTTGCTTCAGCTTTTGGCCTTTTCTCGTATCATCCTTAGTTATTAATAGTGTAATACCAAAGTCGTCTTGAGAGTAGTTCAAACTCCACGTCCGCATTGTTATTGCTCTCGGTTATTATTCCATAGGGCTTAATTATTGTGGCAGAGCGGTCGGGGGAGGGGAAAGGCAGCCGAATCTTGATTAGAAGTGCCACATCAGCTCGCAATTCACTCGATTCGCCGCTCAAAGAGACCGTAAACCAAATCGGCATAACAAAGTGATTCTAATGTAATTCGTGATTTTGCATAATTATAAAGTTAATAATTAAAATTGCTGCGTGCACAAAACCGAAATGAAAACATTAAACTTTAATGACGATTTTGGGCCGTACAGGTGCATTGGTCATTCGGCATTTACAGCTTGGATTTGGCAGGGGGCTCACCTCCCATCGGCAAACAACTAATGCGTAAATATTAGCAAACTCCACCAGCTCCCTCCTCCGATTTTACCCATAAATTTGAGACACATATGCAGTGCGTTTGTAATAAGCAATCAATTATTATTATTGAATTTCGGGCATGGTCAGGTGCAAAAAGGGGGCGGTCACTAATGCGTCTAATGAGAATTTAAGCACACTTCAACCCACTCTCGGTCCGATTGAACCCAGCCAAAACCCAGCCCATCCCATCCCATCCGGAATTTGGGAATTCTGCGTGGATTTGCACGGCACACACAACAAGTACAGTTGTGCTGGGCCCCAATGCAAATGCAAATGCAAATACAATTACATTCCGAACCCATTTAGCGGCATTTCGGTTTGCTTTTCCTACATTTTCCAATTTGTTAGTCGGAACTGCGCAAATCTGTGATTTGCGGTTGGGCTCAGGCTTTTTGAAATATGAGCGGTTGCTACATGTTTAAAGGGAAATTAGGCGAAGAATTCAAAAAGCACAACTAAGCCATATGGAGCTCGGCTATATTATATTTTGTTTCTCTTAAGCTATAATTTTGAATTTTTTAAATCATGCCAGCCCAGATTCAAATTAAATATAATGTTTTTGTGCGCCAAGGTATGTGAACCCGTTTAGATATATCCCAACTGAATTTAGAGCGCACAATTATCGGGTAACCCTGTCAAGGATCCCCCAAACAGGATAGTTTCCCTTCCGGTTCCTATGTGAGGTGCCCTCAAAGTGCCCGCTTAACTGGGTTTCATGTGACCCTGCTAAACCGACATCGTTAATGATAATTTAATTATTGCCGGGCATTTCGGGCTTTGGCGACTTACGCACTCCTGCGAACGAGAATCCTGCGGCCTGGCTAATTGCAGCAAATCTGCTTTGGGTCAGTTAGTCGTCCTTATTAACTGATAATTGCAATCACCTGGCTTTTGGCCACCAGGTGGCCAGGAGCTACATGAGGGGCCGGCGGGCGCATAAAACATAAAGCGGCCAAATCCGCGAATATCGCCATCCGTTTCGAAGATACGAGCTGCAAACAGTGACAATGGCAGTGACAGCTCGGTTGAGCAGCGCGATAGGAACTTAACGCGCATCGCGGGCATTGTAATAATAAAACAAAAGTGTCAGCCAAAGATATCGCAGGATATCGCAGGATATGCGCAATCCATATTGAAAATTGATTTCAATTTTTAATAGGCATCAGGCAGCAGGCAGCGGCGGCGCTTTGATAAAAATGCCAGCACGCGGCAATCGCGCAATCGCGGGCTTACCTCTTCGCAGAAAGATACATCCAGATCCGGATCCGGATCCTGCCTCCTGCCCACTGACGGGGCTCTAGTTAAATATGGAAACAATATCGAAATGCCAGCTGAAATCGGCTGAAACTTGCAAGTGAATGCGAACGCGACATGAATATCCATATGCCTGTGTGCCTGCATTTATATTTGTTTTCGGAGCTGTCAAATCATATTTTAATCTGTTTTGATTGCTGACTTTTGTGCGAGGGATTTGGGCCGCCAGCAGCTGCAGCGGAAAATATTGCATTTTATTTTATTTATGCAAAAAAAGACGGGCGCATTTATATGGAAAGCTCGTGCGATCTTCCCATGCCTTTCCGATTTTTCCGCATTTTCCGCTCGTGACTCCAGTGGTGGCTGTGTTCTGTGCGTTTTCCATTTGTTTCATTTGATGTGCCAGAGTTAAGCAGTAAAATCCACTTTTTACGAGTTGTCCCCGGATTGCTTCGCCGGCCACGCCCACTCCCACTTCCACTCCCACTCCGCCCCTTTTTGGGAGCTTTGCGTAACTCATACGAGCGTAAGGAAACCCAACAGCACGCATTCAGTCGCTGAATTTTGTCAATAATATGTGTCAGCATAGAGGTGAGCATGAAGTCGACATGTTTGCAGGAGCTATTTCTACAAAAAGAGATATATTACTGAATAGATTAAGTATCCTATATTAAATAGTCATATCAATCTAATTCATAGAGGTACCGAGCCGTACTTGTTTTCAATGATCAGGTTGAAGGGACTGAAATATATTTTCTTCGATTAACTTTCGGACACTATCTGTTCTAAAATAATTATGTTGTCTCCGGTCAGGAAACTTGATACCATGCCTCACATTTAGTTTACTGTACTTAAGCGACAAGTATAATGTTATTTTTATTGTGAAAGTCGAACCATTATCACGTGCGTCACAAAGGTCTACTTCTTGCCGCATTCCAAGCGAAAATGCTATCTGCTGTCGGAAATCTCATGTTTTGATGTGTGATTTAAATTACTGCATTTTAATCGAGGAAATGCTTAAAAGTGGATCGGATAGGGATATCCCAAGTAGTTCTTAGTCAAAGTCGCAGGGAGTGGATACCATCACTGGCATACCTAACCTATCCGCCCGCCTCGCCCCCCTCGAAGCTCCTTTCTCAGCGCGGCTTTGGCAGTGACTTAAATACACATAACCGTAGATGGTGGCACTGGTCCTCGTCCTAGTCCTCGTCCTCGTCCTTTTCCCGTCCTGCCCCGCTCCTTGCTTGGCTAGATTGTCAACATATTAGCTTCAAATTGCTAAAGTTCTGCGACTTTTGCTGTTGCCTCATTTTCTCGCTCACGCACAGCAGCTATCGCCCACTCGTTCTACTCACGTGCTGCCTCTCTTTCTGCCGCACCAGCCCCGTCTCTTTCTCGCCCGCCTGCGGGCATCATTGTTTAATGTGGTGCTGCCAACTATTTTAGCCAAAAGCTCACACGGGTGGCGCGGCCGGGTGATTTGCTTGCTTAGCTTAACGTGGCCCGGAATTTTAGGGCGGTGGCGGGAAACGGGAAACGGGGGGCGGGGGCGGTGCCCCGGCCGTATTCCTTTCCGTGTCCGGCATCCAACCATCCAGCCATCCGGCTGTCCGCTCCCATCTCCGGCGGAATGCTTTCGCTTTTGGCGTTGAAACGTTCGGTTGACATTCGTGAAATCTCTTAAAATCCCGAAGGTCGTTGCCGGGGATTTTCTCAGATTTTGCTAGATTTAAATGAATTAGTTGCTTTGGCCGGCTGGCCGATTGATTTTCTGACCTTTACGTTTTTTTTTTTTTCCGGATCTCCGCCGTGGGTTGAGTAGGCCAGCTGCAATTTGGCTTGGGGGCATTTGCAGACATGACTCACCATTAACTGCACTGGACCCCGAGCCTCATAACTCGCTCCACGGAATGAGTACAAATGGGGTTCCGGCGGGCGGATGAGGCAAAATAATATGGATGAGGCCAAATTAGACACGCGGTGCAATGGAGAAAAATGTCCACTGCATTCTGCAAGTAATTAAAATATGAGAAAACAGCTACGGGCAGCACATAAAATATTCCGGGGTCAACAAAGGATGCGAAGCCGCATCTGCATGCTCCTTTTCGTCCTCTGGTCCTTTGGTCCTTTGGTCCTGGCTGGCTGGTCCGGCTGGTGGGCTTAAAAAAGCATCAAATTTCATATTCAAAATGGCACTTTACATGTTCAGCATAATTTATAAATGCACGCAGCGCCCGAAGAGCAGAAACACCAGAGCCGGCTACAACAAACATGAAATGTGCTGCGGTGGCAATATTTTTGAAGCAACATTGTCGACACTCCGGAAAAAGGGATCCATGAGAAATGGGAGGGGCGTGCAAGAGGGGCGGGGCGGGGCGGAGCAGGACATCGATGGCAGCGTTGCTGTTGTCATTCGTCGCCTCCCTGGCTTAAGGGTATACCAGCTATCCAGTGCAGTTTGTATATAATTCGTTGGAAAAATGATTTTATCAAGCCTATTTACGTATTACTTTAAGGACTCTCGATAAATGTATTTGTCTTACTACATTTTATCATTTTTATGGCATTTTTGGGATATCAAATGCCAGTTGAAAAGCACTTCTCCAGCAAAGGGAAAGTTAAGGTATTTCCGCTTGGCTTCGATTCCAGGACTCGCGGCCAGTTTATCCTGCTGTGGACGTTGCAAACAGCAAACATGCCGCAGTCCTGTTCCTGCCAGCCACTCCGGCTCCTCTGTGTCCCCACTCCCTGCTGCCATTCAACCCTTTGTCCAAGGTGTGCGATGATTTTAATGGCCTCCAGGAGGAGGCACGAGCGGAGCCGGGCCAACATGTTGAAAGGATTGCAGCGAGTTACGCCATGAGGCCTACATAGTGTCCTGCCACCCATTCTCCATCCTGGCCATGTCCTGCCACAGTTGATTGGCTGCTTTTTTGGGTGTTGACGCAGCCGGAGGAGGCAACTGCTGAAATTTGCATATCAAAAACGGCCAGGACATCCTCCGTATGACTGTGTGTGTGTGTGTGTGTGTAATGTCCTTTTGCAGGCTCTGGCTGTGCCAGCGGCTCTATGAAT